AACAAGCAGAAAGATGCTAGCTAAAACTTATGGAAAGTACTTACTAATGACACCAATGACACTGAGTAGTGGGAAAGGTGGGAAAAGTGGAGTGCTTCTGGTTGATAAGTAATGGCTTGATCAGGTTCTGGGTGTTGGTGTTCTGTGGTGGTCTGGAGTCTGAAAATTCTCTGGAAGCGGAATCAACAAGCTCAGAGAGGATTTTCACAGTTGGATTATGTAATCTGGTATGTACATGTGGTAGAGGGAGCGGAAACCTAAAGGTTGGGATAATTCTTGGAGTACTGTGAATTGTTACAAAGTCAATGAAGGAATGGAGTTGGGTAAAAGTGATGAGTGGTGACTAGGGTTAATTTTACACCAGGAATCCATTTCTGAAGTCAGAAAGGTTAAAAGTCTTAAGATAAAAAAGATAAGATGATATTTTGAGTAGAAATGGGCAGTTTTGGCAGTCTTTTGGCCAGCTTGGTTGGCTCTAAGGCTGACATCCACAGTGTACTGCGGTGAATGTGAACACGTGAAGCCTCCATCTGTAGTGGAGAGACCCCAGTGACTAACTAGGGTTCAAGAACAATTCACTCATGTCCACCATTCAGACAGGAAGTAAACTCGCAAAGTGCCGCTGTGTATTCAAGACCGGGGCATGGGAAGGGAGGGAGCGACATGGCTCATAGAGATCTCCGGTGGGCCACCCAACAAGATAGCTGTCTGGAAAGGGGTAGGGTGCTAATTGTACCAATGGCAACCCAGGCACCGTTTCAGTGAAGTATACACATCCCTCACACCATTTTGGCAATAAGTTGACAGTGAACGCAACACAAATGTGCGGCCTTGCTTCAAATCCCGACTTTGGATGATTGCCCAACACAAGAGCAGACTCAACCCATTGGAATCAGAGTCCTCATGTTTGTATTGGAATTGAATACATACTTCCTCAATTTAGACACTGTTTAACTGTGCCATCCACCTCTTAGGTCACATGTGTGTGGTGAGCAGTTAAAAATTTCACATTTAACCTACTGGGAACTTGGCCAATTGTCCAAATAGCAACCCCACATGAAGACAGACCCAGCCACACTCCCACGGTGCTACTGCTTGCCTGTTGCTGATTGGTTTAGG